TTCAGTTCTGGATCCGTATCCAAGACATGTCTGGATTGATCAAGTTCAAACTTCACACACACATGGTACATCATGTCACAAATAGATATGTGCATTTGTTTCATGATCTGCTTAACAATAGCCGAATGATGGCCATTTTAAGGCCGAAAATGCATCAAAATCACGTATTTTCACAATTCCAGAACCGGATCTCAGTCATGCATGGATGGATTTTGTTCAGATTTAGCACAATGTGTTGTACATATGCAGGTGCATTTCGGTCATGATCTGCTTTGAATGTATATGTCACTCAAATATGAACGGAACGGGGACGTGTCATTGACAATGACTTGTTCTTTTATAAATGAGGACAGTAGTTCAGAGAAAAATCAGCAGTAGAACGGACACTGCAAATAAAGGCGTAAGAAGAATGCCTTTCCCAACGTTTTCTCATTGATTCTAAAGGACGATGGCCCAATTCAATATGGACTCAAAGTGATGTACACAACGCGTGTAAAATAACACAATCCCTCCAGAAGGATAGAGGGACTGTGAAAATACAATACCAGGTGGGAGTTGCTTGACACGGTTGGTTGAAATAATCATCTCATTTGCATCAATTAATATTCATGAGATTGTAAAACTCTTCTTTTCAGTAAAATTGTGCCAAAATGCTTTCCGATAGCATACATGATAGTTCTAAATTGACTGATTCTATGTTAAGAGCTGAAAAAAACAATCTAAAAACTGTTGTCCAGATCGGACGGCGCCCTCTCGTGCTAATCCCCCTGGAAAATACACTGTTTGTTTACATGAAATTCGAACATGCGCTGCGCGACGACCACAGCCCTTTAAGGATTTCGTCCACTGATGTGACATTTTTGGATCGCCTGGAAACGCTTAAATATATTGCTATACGTATTACTGCATCTGCCAACAACACAACGCCCAACCATCGTAAATATGTTCATCAGATTGGAAAGAAAACTTTTACTAAAACTTTTCAAAAACAGCGCCAACTGAAACATATATCGCTAATACTAGTAGTATTGTCAAATGACAGTATTATGAAAGTATAGCGCAAGATTTTGGCATACTTTCACTTACGACGAGAGTCGGAAAGCTGGAAATAGTACTCGTAGTTGACTGTTCGAGATATGTGGGCGTGGCTACAACACAAGAAATATCTCAAATTTACTCGGATATGAATAATTATTTTCAACAAAGAATAACTGTCCATTTCAGTGGGACACAGATTTAAATTGGGAAACGTGTTGGTGGGCATTTTACAGGCACTTGAAAATCATGCATTTTAATTATCTAATTATTATTAGCCAATTTCTGATATTTCAGAAAATCAGATTTAAATTGAACTTGTGGTAGAAGTGCTACAAAATAAATTAGACTGTAAACCACAGATATAAAATCAAATCTGTAAGTATTAAAAATTTCAATTAGATTCACGCTGTGCATCTCAAATAGCAGAAAAATATAAGTCGCCAAATGTCTTATTTGAAAGACTAATCTTAAAATTTTGAATTAATTTGTAATATGGAAGTTTTTATTTTTTGATTTTTGAATTTTTAACATCACATGCAAGATTTTCCCTGTTTACCAATTCAAAGAAGAGTTTATTGCTATATGGGAATCGTAGAGTCATAACCATGGCAACGTATTTGGTGTTTGCTTGCGGTCAGCAAAACATAAAAAAAATTGCAGTGTGTAAATTTTGACCATTACAAAATTATGTTGATGAGTGGGACTGCACACAAACAAATCAGACTAATTCCTACAGTAACAGTGTGAGGGGAAAAATAATTTGCACAATTATGTGCAAAAATGTATTACAAGCGTTTTTTAGAAAACAGGGGAAACATCGGCAAAATGTGGCAAATTATTAATGAAGTTGTGAACAAAAATTGTAACATTATCAAAACTCCCCGGAAATTGAAAAGTCAATTACAAACAGGAATGTTAATTTTTGATCTGAAAAATAAAAATCATGCGAGATGTGTGCTAGATTATTTTGAACCAATTCAGCACTCGCACAGTACAAGATCTGTAGAAAACGCAAACTTTTTTGTAGAAAGGAAACGTTTAACTCAAAGTCAACACAGTGTAATTTATAGTAGTACCTTAGTCTGGAGCTCCAGTGTCATTAAAAAATATTACCTCTCGATACACATTTAAACAAGGTCTTAAACAGTATTTCTGTAGTAAATAACCCAGTATTGACTTATGTAACAATTGTCACTCTCTTGACTTTTATGACATTTTTTTGATCAGTTTTAAGTATTCTTATATACATTACCTTTGAATATTTGTAAGAATATTTCTGAGAATTTGACTAGTTTATAATTAGGGTAGGGACATGATGTTTTACTAGCTCTTTTTGAGCTATTTATCATGTTCCACACCATAATGACAAAGCATTATGTATTTAGCAAGTATCCTTTTGTATTTACTTTATGGTGAAATAAAATATACAATACAATTAGAGTGCTTCTCCATCACCCAGTATCTATTGCCCCCCCCCCCAATCAACACCCGTCTGGACAGTGCATGGCTACAAGAGTTCGTTGACCCGGAACAGCGCCTCCTATGCGTCGTAGTTGCACTTCCACACTGGGATGACAAGATGGCGGTCCACGAGTCAATGATATTGTAAGTTAACGTGTTAAAACCAAATTTACTCATTGCATGCGGATATATTATTGATCACTGATATCGTACTAATAGACTTAGTCTCGCTGAAACTGTACAGATCTGGTTGAGTCAAAAAACGTGTACATTTCGTGGAAATCTGCCAACAGGTTCCTGGGCAGGTGGCAGTATTATCCATCGAATGGATGTCAACATCAGGCCATATTGGTGTCCGTGATAAATTACCGTTCGATCATGAATGATAAATATTAATTATGCTATTTTTAATTGATACAATCCAACCTTACGAAATTTTAATTTTATTATTTTACTGACAAACAAACTGCAACACTCTGTGTGTATTTTAATATTAGTGTTTTTAATAATACGTGACTATACTATGATTTACAATATTTTTTCTACTACCCGCATACACATGTTACTATATTATTTTGGTAGACATATAACTGACGAGAAATTCTATATTGCGCCGAGGGACTCAGGCACTAAGGAATTATTGGTCATTGATAGAAACAGCACAGAGCTTACTCTAGAAGGTACTGTCAACCTCCCAAATTTTGTCAAGTGTTTTTCAATTCATTGTACCGTTACATCTGCCTCTTAACTCAGTACTGTATATATTCATTTTATTAATTTGAAAATATTTCTGACTTGGTTAATTTTTTTTTTCAGACATTTTTGTTTTTAGGTGTTTGTTTTAGTGGCCATGAGCCTTTATACCTAGCACTAGTCTTTTGATAAGTCTTCCTTCATTTTGAAAAATTTATAAACTGGGCTTATTTAAATTTGTCAGTGGTGGTAGTAATGTAGCAGTAATATCAGCAGATTTATCCCTATTTTTAGTTGATTGCTTGTTCACATTTCCTACAACTATACAACATTCCGTTTTTTTATTTTAATTTATCGGTACTTGTAAATAATTGATCTAGTGATTTCATTATGCTACACATGGCAAAATTTATAGTATATGAGATGCAGGTCCTCTAGGGTCCCTATTGAGCCACACCCCTTTGACCTCTGACCCATAACTTCTATCTAAGTTACTACAGTCTGTTAATGTTCATCCTCATTACATTCTACCATTCATCATAGAGGGATTCTATGTATGATATTTCATCTGAACCACGCTTGTATATTTTATTATAGGAAATCAAGGCCAGGCGCCAACTTATTCCATACGGAAAGCAATATGTGGAATTATGGGGATAATCCGCCTTGTTGGTGGTAAGTGTTGACGTGGAGAACTTGCCACTTTGTTCGTGTATCGTGATATAAAGCAAGCAAGCCCCTTTGTTAATTGAATAATGCAAATCATAGACAGTTAAATGATAATATAAGTCTGTTATTCATATTTTCTTAAATTATTTATATAGGACCTTACCTCATAGTAATAATGAAAAAAGTCAAGGTCGGAGAAATCGACAGCCAGACAATATGGAAGGTAGAGGAGACTGAAATGATTCCCTACAAACGATCAACTGGACACCTTACAGAGGACCAGGTAATAAATACAGTCAAACTTGTGTTAGTGACCACTTCTATTTAAAGACCACCTGCCTATAGTGACCATATTTCGGCAGTCTCAAGGCATAACACATGAGCAACCTGTGTATGAAAACCACCTGTCTTTTGAGACCACTCTTTTTGCAATCATTACACGATATGTAGATTTTTTTTTTATAGACCAAAGTAATAATTAGCATTCTGCTTGTAAAACAATTTTTTTAAGTCAAGAGTTATTTAATTTTAATCAGCTCAAATGTTTTATTTTTTATTTTATTTTTTTGTGTGCAACAGTACCATTTTATTGGAATGGATGAGTTGGTGATCCAAAAAAAAAAATTATTATCGAACTTCCATATAAATCTACTGAGAAAATGTAGTAGAATGGTGTTTCTTATTAAAGGGGTTTCTCAATTTGAAAATGGATGGGCTGGAGGATTGTGTGTAAAAAAATTATGATGCATAAGGAGCAAAAAAAACAATTGTATGTAAGGGAACTATGAATGCAAAATTTGTTATCAGGCATGTGAATAAATTATTTTTGAATAACAAATCTCTCTTGCCATGCCAGATTTCATATCAGTAAATAAATAAAGCTTCTATTATGCAGTCCAGTGATTAATTAATCCTCTGTTCATTCTGTGAAATTAAAAGTATGTTTTTTTAATTGTAAACCTTAAGAGTGAGTTGATTTCTAGCATTAGTTATTTTGAATTATTAGAAAATTATAGCTGCTGAATTTGATTTTAAATAGGCTAACAAACTCTGAACAAGTACTCCCTATATATGGGCCTTAAAATTAAATAAGCCATAATCTCAATTTCCATAAATGCGACTAAAATAATGTGAATCATTTTAAAAGAGACAGTGTCTATATTTAACTAATTGTAACACACCTAATTTTTGCCTTTGTATTTTCTATTATTTCTTTCTCATTACAAATTTAATATCGGTATGTGTGTATCATGTGTTGTTTTTACGAAATAAATAAAATAACTGAATGATAGACTTATAACTATATAGACTTGTTTTACAACTGTATCTTATCGAATCTATGATGTATTCAGTAATATTTAAAAAAAACAGCTGTGCTTAATAATATTCTTTTTTAACTTTTTTCCAGATCCAAGACAACAAAATATATGAATCCATGACTAAATTAGTGTTAGATTTACCTGGCTATTATTTTTCAACGACGTATGACCTCACTCATAGTTTAGCCAGGCTGCATAACACTAGTCCGGAATTTTTATCAATGTCTCTTCATGAAAGGGTAAGTTTACAAGGAAGAATTAAGTGATTTGCTAAATGTGTAAAATGAAGGATTAGTGTTCTCCCCCCAAGCGTTTTAAGCCTGCAGTTTTACCATGCTTAGCCACAGAAATTCCATGCTTGAACTTTTAAGAAGAAAGTAGATGTTATTGGTAATTATTATCCTAGAATTCTATATTTATAGAATCTATATTTATAGAATTCTATATTTATAGCTGACACTGTTAATTATGTGTTTGCCACTATATAGTACTAAATATACCAGAAAATAATTCTCTTATTGCGTTGTGACACTCTAAGTCTGTATTCAGGTATTGATATTTTTTCCCATTAATTGACAAGTCTATTGAAAAACTAATGTTGAATATCAAACCGTAACATAAACAAAATAATAAATATGTGTAAAAATACATGTTAAATGATGCAGTATAATGTTATGCAAGTATTGAAAAATACCACCGCAAGATTAGTATTTGGCCATAACAGTCTGTATCAAAAGTGTACCAACCTAACTTTGTCACTAGCAACTGTGGTGAAATTGTCCAGTTTCACAATTTCTGAGATTTCACTATGTGATTTTTACTGAGATTTTCGTGCTTTGCTGTACTTTTTCACCTAACTTATTATATTCATTATACTTGCAGGCAGACCAGAGATTTGTATGGAATGGCCATCTTTTACGAGAATTAGCAAATCAACCTGAACTTCACAGGTTTACGCTACCAGTAATGTTAGGTTGTATCCTTTAGTACATGTATAAAGTATTGTAATGTATTGGTTGACGGCGGGATAAAATAGTGCCATTATGATAGGAAGACTGTCACACAGCCCTGTCACTTAGTCCCAATGGAATATGGCAAAATGTACTACGTGTCAGTACTTACAATTTGCACATAAATGAAAGTAAATAAACTATGCATTATGAAATTTGATTATGCCACCTTTGGTTTGGTTCTCCTAAATTTACCCTTCTTTTTCTGTTTGGATAGTTTTGTTACGTCTTGTGGGTACACTTCCTGCAATTTGAATTTTTTCTACCTGAGTACAATAATACACTTGTACATTCTGCTCTCACTGAGCATTGGCGTTGCAGGTTGGCGTCCTTTCTACACCGATTTGACGCATATGGTGAAAAGTGTGCAGGGCGTTTGTTCAAAACTTTGAACGCTTCGAATTCAGTCGTCGGTTGGCGTGTATTTTACAAATATATTAAATCCTTTCAGGGGCCTGTTTACTAAATAATGATAAATGAAACTTAGAAATACTGTAAGGACAAACTGGCCCCAAAATTGCGCAAATTTGCAATAAGTTTACGCTGCTAATGTCTCGCTCAAAGACGTTCTATTTTCGAACCGTTTGAAACCAGAAATTACGCGAGTACTTTCGATCTTCAAACACAAATTTGATTATTGTTATTATGTGTTACCGGTAGTTTCTATTGTTTCAAAGATTTAATTATGTATGACATTAATATGTCACTCCCTAAACAAAATTTCACTAAAATATGCGATTAAAAAGCAAATTAAACTGTAAAAAGCAATATCAAGTTTCGTGTATAAACACTGGTGTAAAGAGGTGACGGAGCGCTATTTTAGCCAAAATCGGCTAGTAAGACGTCATATGACACGGGTCTGTGCTGGGACAGCGCTTCCTGTGACGACACAATGCTCACTGAGGGTATTCTATGCACCACAAGGTCCAGAAAAACGTCAGTAGTATGTCGGTTGTCAATGATAATCATCCTGGGTAGATCCATGGAAACAGCAGCCCACTTTTAATTAGCCAATTTGGTTACCAGACCAGAAACTATCCATGATTCAGTGTACACCATGAACATTGACTCAACTTATAAGATGTATGTAGAGTAAATACTTTCCTCAGCAATGCCTGCTCAGATGTTGGTATTCATTCTGCTGCAATCAATGGTAGAAGTTTTGATTATATATTGATGTCAAGACGGAGTTGTTTCCGTGCTGGTGTGCGTTATTACATGCGTGGTGTAGATAGTGAGGGCCATGCTGCAAACTACGTTGAAACCGAACAAATTGTGCAATATGAAGGGAACAAGTCATCCTTTGTGCAGGTAAAAAAAATTCAATTTCCAGGGAATATTGAAAAGAGATTTGTTTTTGTTCAAGGCAAACTGACCT